TTCTCACCAGTCAATACAAGCATTCATTAAGGAAAAATACACTACTATCCGTTTCAGAAGTAGAGGTACCAGGGGTTATATGCGTATTACTTGAGAAAAAAAATCGTAAAAATATGGAATCAATTGCACTGTATAATGAAGTATTTCACTCACCCAACACGAAGTTTAAAGTTTTTAATTTGATTAGTTTATTTATAATCGGTGTGAGAAGCCGAAAAACCCCCAGATTTTCAGGGTCTATAAAAGTCGGCAAAATTTGAACCGCTACCAAACGTACGAAAAAATTTTTTTTTAAATCGTCAATTTTTCCAGAGATTCGTTGAACCCTTGGGAAGCCAACGAGAGAAGAAAAAACTCAATATTGTAATAATTATTTATTTAATTAATAGAAATGTCCACTGCGGCTATCTCGTTGTAGAATTGCCGAACCGACCTCAAAAAAAAGATCCATTCTGAATTCAATGTAAAACATATTCGATCAATATATATCTAATAAACAATCTTAGTTGATTTAAAAAAAATCGAGAAAATTCGTCAAAAAAAGTACTGTTAAAACGATCATAACTCGTTATGGAGTTTATGGGCCCGCTCACCGTCGGTCCCGCGAAATTGAAAACACATGTGCGCCTGCATACCTCTTTCAGGAACGTCGATACCAGTTACAGTCGTTTGAGCCCCTTGAGGCGCAAATACACTGTACATTGCTTGCCTCCAGAGAGCCCATAAACCCCATAACGAGTTCTGATCGTTTTAACAGCACTTTTTTTGACGAATTTTCTCGATTTGTTTTTAAATCAACGGAGATTGTTTATTAGGAAAATATTGACCGAATATGTTTTACATTGAATTCAGAATGCATTTTTTTTTAAGGTCGGTTCGGCAATTCTACAACGAGATAGCCGCAGTCGACATTTCTATTAATTAAGGAAATAATTAGTACAATATTAAGTTTTTTCTTCTCTCGTTGGCTTCCCAAGTGTTCAATAAATCTCTGGAAAAATTCACGTTTTAAAAAAAAAATTTTCGTACGTATGGTAGCGGTTCAAAATTTGCCGACTTTTACGGATCCTGAAAATCGGGGGGGTTTTCGGCTTCTCACAGCGATTATAAATAAACTGATCAAATTAAAAACTTGAATAGAATAGAAAAACTTGAAACTTCGTATTGGGTGAGTGAAATACTTATATTACACAGTGCATTTGGTCCCATATTTTTACGATTTTTTTGTTCTCAAGTGATGCGCATATAACCCCAGGGTCCTCCACTTCTGAAACGGATAGTAATTATGTCCACTAAAAATTGTGATGTTTGCTAATCGTGGAAGTTATTAAAAAAAGTTCTGAGAAAATTTTTCATTTTCAATTTTCTCAAATGAATAGATCATGATCTGGCAGCAAATTTCAATCCCTTTTTTTGAATAATTCCGGATTCAACCGTCAAATGTCTTTAAATTTTCGCGTGATGACAAGAACGGGATAGTCTGCAGAATTAAGTTTTCATCACAATATCTCGGAAACTATTGAGACGTTATTGAAATATGCAATGCAGAAAATTTGGAGGATTCCCTAATGAAGACAATAATTTTTCATATATGTTTCTGCGCGTCATATATACTGACTTATTTACATCTATTCTGGACATCACTCTGCGTTGCATGCCCAACTACGAGCATCTTTGTCTAACACAAGGATTTGTATACTGCCATCTGCGATCTCTTCGCTATGGTAGCAACAGAGACGGTTCTATGCAAGTCGCTGGGCGTTCTACCTGGACAGCAGACTCGAAGGGCCGTCCGCAGCCATTTTCACTACCTTACATGGGATCGGCATAGGGACCATGAACTTCTGCCCAAGGTTCATTAAAGTTGACTGCCAGTAGGTCAACTTTTCTTATCAAACTTTGAACTCGTTGTGCATACATGAAAATTGATTTGAAAAATCCGAAAAATTTCGCATGGACTGATGATCTTTTTAGCTGACTTTTTCAGGTATCGGAACCCTAAAATTCATTCTCTTTCTCCTGTAGGCCTACCTAATTTGTAAGGACCGACGTGACAACTGATGACAGCAACGCTCTTCTCTTCTGCTTTAGCCCTCCGATGTTCGGCATGAGCCGTGAAAGGACGGTTGCAACTCCAGCCGCCTTAGCGCCGACGTACTCCACTTGCTGCTTGAAGCTAAGCTGGGTATCGATCATCATTCTCAAGTACCGCAGCGATGGTTGGGACGTGATTTCATGATTCCCGATATGCAGCGTGATGGTTTCAATCTTCTGTCGGATCATAATCAGCACAACCTCCGTTTTATGTTCTGCCAAAATCAGTCCCACTGAGTCCATCCATTGACGAATTCTGTCATATGCAGTATCAAAAATATAATTGATCTCCTCCAGTCACTTTGCAACGATTACCAGAGCTACATCGTCCGCAAACGCGACGAGTGTAGCCTCCTTGGGTAACGTTAACTTCAGAAGACCGTCGTACATAACGTTCCACAAGAGAGGGCCAAGCACTGAGCCTTGGGGCACACCACCAGTGACTCTGTACTTTTTTTGGGCCAGTGTTTGTATCGTAATTCAGGACTCCGTCTGTGAAATAGCTTCGCACCATCCTTTGCAGCTTCCCTGGCACCTTCAGATTTGAGAGAGCCTCCATGATGCAGTCCCATCTGGCGGAGTTGAAGGCATTTTTGATGTCCAACGTTATTACCAGATACTACTACTTCGCGCCCCATTTCCACCTCGCGTCCGAGATTGCATCCCATGCAATGAAGACGACTAGGTTGATGGCATCAAGCGCTTGGAACGGCCTCTACGAAAATCGTATTGATTATCAGACAATTGCGGTTCGATCACTTCCTCGATCCTCTGGTGGAGAATGCGCTCCAGAATTTTTCCAACTGTGTCCAGCATGCAGAGTGGACGGTAGGACGAGGGTTCGTCCGGTGGCTTCGTGCCTATAGGAAGGATCACCAGCCTCTGCTGTTTCCACTTAGTTGGGAAAATTCCCTTCTGAAGACATGCATTATAGACACTCAAGAAAACTCCTGGCGCTGCGTTGATTGCCACTTTCAGGGCGACGTTCGAGATTCCATCCATTCCTGGTTCCTTGGCGTTCCCGAATCTGTCATAAGCTTCCAGCAGCTGATCGAGTGTCACAGGTGGAATCGCCTCTGAATCGCACTTTTCGGTGAGGAAGTCGAGCTCTGGTTGTTGTGGGAACAGCACCGCTACGATCTTCTCCAAAAGCTCAGGGCACGTAGGCGATGGCATCGGCTGGCTTCTCAGGCGGTGCATGACCACGCCGTAAGGTCGCCCCCACGGATCCCCTTCGACTTCGTCAAGGAGCTCATTCCATCACTGTCTCTTGCTTCCCTTGATCGCCTTATTGAGTACCCGACGTGCATCTTTGTACCTGATCTCTCGTTCTTCGGAGTTTGGCTTCCTACGGCTTCGTTGTACCTGCCTACTCGCTCGAATGCAGGCCTTTCGTAAGGTAGCGATGGTGTTGTTCCACCAGTACACCGATGGATGCTTGCTTGCACTACGCTTCCGGGGGATAGTTGCAGCACAGGCTTCGGTGACTCTACGTATAGCTTCCCACATTTTCTCCGTGGCATTGTTTCCTTGGATCAGGTGATCGTCGAATGTTCCAAGGAACAAGCTGGAGTCAAAGGCGTTCGACTTCCATCTAACCGCGTTGGTCTTGTTGGCTGCTGATCCAGTTTTCCAAATGGTGGATAATTCCTAGAAAATCGCATAGTGGTCACTAGCGGTGTAGATATCCATCACCTCCCAGTTGGAGCCTCCCCTAGCAAGATTGAACTAGCCCCTCCTCTGTCGAAAGTTGGTTCTTCGCCACTGTTTAGCAGTACCAAGTCCAAGAAAGACATGGCCTCCTGTAGTGTTTGACTCCTCGCATTTGTCTCCTTGCTGTCCCGAGCGATTGCTATGGACAGCAAGGGGCCTCGGTCAATCGATCCGTGAAGTCTGCAAACTCATCGATGGATAGGCTAGGTGAAGCATAGCAGGTATAGAAGTGGATTCCACTCAGCTTAGCTCTCACAAAGCCGCTCTGCGCTGTATTGATACAACTCTGGAAGGGGTAATTACCGCAGGACCAAATAACAGCCTTGGAAGTGGTATCCGTCTTCTATGGCTGATCATGAAGATGTTTGTATGGCTCCGAAATCATTACGAGGTCGGGCTTCAGCTCCCGCACCGACTGTGTGAGCAGGTCGTGTGCAGCCTCACAGTGGGTGAGGTTAAGCTGAAGTATTCTCATCGTCGATTTTTGCTCAGCGCCTGGAGTGTCTCCTTGTATGATGGGCATCTACCGCTGCCAGCAATGAGAGCGCAGTTGTCCATGCGACCCTTCACGACACAGAGGACGCATTTGGTGTCTTTCTCTCATTACACGATCAGATGATCGTCCTCACCGCATTTGATGTATTTTTTGGAGCAGTCGACTGTGCTTTTGCACTTATTGGTGAGATGCCCGAAGTCCCAGCACTTGAAACACTTCAGAGGTCTTTCCACGCATCTGACCCGGCAGTTAACCCTCCCGACCTTGATATTGCGGTATTCTTCGACGATTTTCTTTGTCGTCGCCACTGGGTGTCTCACCCAAGCGGTCTGAGTACCTCCGTATGCTTTTCGTAGCCATTTGATCGCATTGAGGGCAAGAGTACGGGACCTTCTCCAGCGGCCTTCTTCAACGCATCGAGTATTTCTTCCTTCTTGTCATCTCCTCGAGGTCTTTGATCTCGAGCTCTTCCTCCGGTGTTTTACTGAGGACATCCGCTTCCTCTCCGAGGAGTTCGATCATGGCGGCCTGCAGACCGGGGACCTCCTCGGGGTGCTCCTTCGAGAGAATAATGAGCATATCTCCTGTGGCTGTCTTCCGCATCTTCTCCACGCATTGTTTGAACTCCAGGGCAGTCGCGTCCTGCTTCATTCGTTTAAGAATTTTGGAGTATAACCCTTTGTCCTTTGGGCGAATGATGAGTGCATCAGGTCTTTCCGCTCGTTTCTTCTGCTTTGAAGACTGCTATGTAAGCTGCTTCTTCTGCTTCTGCTTTTGTTTGGCTTTCTGCCACTCTGACTCTTAGGAAGCTGCGATTCTGCAGTGGGTGACGGTGGTGCTACATGCTCCTTTCGTTTCTTCGTGGCTTTAGACTCCGCTTCCGGAGAGGTACGCTTGCGCCGCCTCCCCGTGACTGTTCCCCGGTAATTTGGCGTTAGCTGTTCCAGTTGTTCCGCCTCGGTATCCTTCGCCGTCGTTTCGAAAAAAAGTCCGAGTGTGCGACGACGTAACTGGTGTCCGCACTACGACCGGAGTAAAGCAATGCTGGGGGCTTTTTTGCCTTGGCTTCGCCATCTCGGTTTGCCTTGGCATTAGCTGTTCCAGTTCTTCCGCATCGGTGTCCTTCGCCGTCGTTTCGGAAAAAAGTCCGAGTGTGGGACGACGTAACTGATGTCCGCACGACGACCGGAGTAAAGCGATGCAGGGGGCTTTTTTACCTTGGCTTAGGCATCTCGGTCTCCTTCAGTCTTCTAAAAGCAGTTGCAATAGCCGCCATCTTACTTTTAATCTCCTTATGGTCGTTTGGCTTTGGGTTAGTGAAGTTGTACAGGTTGTTGATCAGCTAGTCAAACCAATCCCATGCCTGCGTCCTCATCATCTCCGCACTTGCATCAAGTGCTGCCTGTTGGGCAGGCTGCCCGCTGATTCCTCCTCGATGTTCACATGTGTTTGTTTTATAATTTGACTCCATGCTGTTCCCACGAGTACCTAGGGTATTAGGGACATTTGCGGGTCAACATTTTACCCACAAAAGTTACCCCAACTGCAGCATGTTCAGTCTCCGTGCCTCTGTTCTATTCATGTATAGTGTTACTACATGTTTACCATTTTTGCTAGTTTGCACCGCGGACCTTCGAATTTTTCATTAGATATTTTCCATATTTTCAACAAATGTTAGTTAGGTTATGAACCCATCAATGCCCACTCAATATTGTCTATTCCCATGAGTTACGGGATGAGTATGACCATAAAAAGTGTGGTTGTACACACAAAATGAAAAAGAGTTTCAATACGAGTGGTTCTTTAAAAAAAAATTATTCAGAAAATTGTCAGAACGAACGCACTTGGCGCGGTTTTTTGAAGGACTTTCTTTGCGGGGCGTTGGCGCTTTATGTGGACACCATGGTCGAAGGAACCTTCTCCGTGTCCTTAGGTCGCGAATGCCGGTAACTACGTAGCGATCACTGCCTTAATTAATTTAATTTTTATTCATGAAAATGAAAATATTTGAAAATGGAAAAGAATAAGCTCGAGGTATCAAATAAAACTATTCGACAATTTCATTTAACACAATGACACGATTGACTATTTAAAAATTTGAACACCTAGCAAGGTGTAGTATGCTTCAACGCAATTTTTGAGTCCTAAAGTGAATGTCAAATAATACACTCCCATATAAGGATCCGCATTAAGAAAAATAAAACGCGCCAAATAGGTTGGTCTTGACAATTTTCTGAACAATTTTTTTTTAAAGAACCATTCGTATTGACACTTTTTTTCATTGACTTTTTGTGGATAATCACATTTTTTATGTTCATACCCACCCTGCAACTCATAGGAATAGACAATATTCAGTTGGCATTGATGAGTTCAAACTTAAAACTTGCAACAGTACCGTCGACTGTAGGAAGAAGCTGAAATTTTGTTTAGATATTATGAAATGTTCTGTCGTTTTTCAAGATGATAAGTTCAACTTCATGAACTCGGTGCTCTTCCTTATTTCTGCACTTTTTTCAATTTTCCAGAAACAACTGTCCATAAATAAGTACTCAGGCATTTTTCCACAATAACGCATTGGAATGGCTACTCGGCCATTTTTTCATTTTTTTTTGGTCCGAGAAACAATACAATTTTTGTTGTTGAAAAAATACAATGATTAAAACGGCGCACTTGGCCGGTTGTGAAAAAAAAATTTTTTTTTGGTTTTGGTGGATACATCCATTCACCATCGAATCAAATTGGGAATAAAAAAAACTGGGAACTTAAATATGAGCAATCACGAAAAACACCGGAAAACGTGACAGAATTTTTCAGTCAAATCCGAAAAAATAGATTTCTAAATTTCTAATTTTATAGATTTCTAATAGATTTCTTCGATTTACTCAATTACCAAAAAATATCTTATTTCTTCAGATGGTGGAGAGCAGTGTATCGGAGGGTTAACTGAGAAGAGTAAGATTTTTCAAGTGGGAGACAATGAGGATCCTATCAAACCTACTGGCGATCCTGCACAACAAACAAAACCAGGTACTTTTTACATTAATAAATTTTTCGATTAAGTTCGGGAATATTTTTTAATTTTTTTTTGTTCACTAAGTCAGTATCGAAAAATTACGTCACGAGTATTAGGGGATTGACGCTTGTTTTGCGAGACTCTTCCCCATGCACAGGAGGGGAGGGGGTTGATAGGTACTAACGACATGTTTTTTCCTCTCTTGTTTCCGGAACGGAAAGAAGACAAAAGGTGCAATGTTTTCTCATTGGTTTATTAAACAAAGCAAGTATGCAAGACATTGCCGCCATATTTTTTATGGCCACAAAGTTATGAGATACAAGCCGCATGTTATGAGGTATAGCTCATCTTTTCAAGACTCCTTAAGACCGAGTATTTCTACTATTTCAATCATTCATCTTCATTGTGACAATGGGTTCACTTGGAGTGTCATTTCTAAGGAGAGAATCAGGGATCTAGACGAGTGTTTTATGCACTCAGTTGGTGCACTTATCAGCTCATCCAGGAGAGTGTTTGGTGGCTGGGAATGCATCTCGGCATCAGTAATCTCTGAGGACCGGTGCAATCTTCCCATGGGGTTATCCATGGGGCACACTATTGAAAAATGTACTTCTCTCCTCGGGAGAAAGTGCACATGGTGAAAGGATGTCTAGTAACAAAAATTTTGAAGGCAACGAATGATTTATTTTCAATTTACCCGGATATTTTATCACTTATAATTTTCAATGTGAATCGACAATTTTGATAATTATTTTTGGATTTTATTTGAATCAAACGTTGATTTTCCCTGCGAGGCTAGTAACTTGAGGTTCCTGATGGCTGGTTCCCGTGAGCTAAACTTAGAATGGGGTGTTGCATCACCCTTGGATAGGGGTGCGAACTATTGGAATGGAAAAATCGCGACTCTCTCTCATAAAATCAAAGAAATCACTCTATACATACTCTTTACGTTTTTATTCGAAATTCTACGATGAAGTCGTGTACAGGTACATGATTATACTTTGATGTGAAATTGCCGTTAGTTACAGTTTTGTTTCATTACTTTTTTATTGAGTATAGTGAGAATTTCTGAGGAGCATTTCTCCTTATTTTTCGGATACTATGTACCAATTATGTGTTGGTTGATTGTCAAAATTGACTATTCAGGACTCAAAGCTTTTCGTCGTTTCGGCCCAAAATATTATCGAACTACGTGATTATTAAAGGGGATTCTTACTTTTAGTTAAACTTCGGAAAAACGTGGAAGTTCAGCTGAATTGCTGGCGGTCATTGAATGAATTATTCGAGATTAGAGGAATTCGCGTTTGGGTTTTGGTGCCACGTCACACGGACAACCCGACTATTGCAACCTTGTGAATTGCCGAGATCTCTTATGATTTTGGAAGACTCAACATTTGTCTCTCTAGGGAATTTGCAGTTTTGTCGAATCATCGTTTGAGTTGTTTCTTTCATCTCTGCCTCTTCATTCATTCTCAAGGATGAATGCATCCTTGAGAATGCAGCTTAGGGTGGGGCCATTAAATGTGGGCCGAATGGTCCACGCCCCATAAGTCGATTCCGAAAAATAGATGAAAAAGATGGTGCAACATTTTAGGTTCTAACGCAACTAGGAAGGGTGAAAATTTTTTCCAACTGAATAACGTGGACATTTGCGACTGTCTCAGACTTAATTTTTTAGTATCTCGGATTGCAATGATATAAGTCCCTACTCTACGGAAAATTTATGATCAACAGTACTACTGTCCACAATTGTTTTGTAAATAGAGCTCCAGACTTATTTTACAAGGTAAAAATTCGATCAATTAAAATTTAATTCAACTATTCGATAGTTGTTCCAAATTGATAGTCGTAGTTTCAAACTATGAAATACTTTTTCCAATTTATGGAGCTACTGATGATTCTCAATAATTGATAAAACGCAGCATGTGAGCAGTCATTTGAATACATGGTGCTGTTTATTTAAGAAACATTGATTTAATCTTGAAGCTCATCACATTGTTTCCTCGTAATATGTGTCTTGAGCTCTATAAGCAGTAAATTATAGAAAGTGATACTGTTGACCATAAATTTGCCGTAAAGTACGAATTTTCGTTGTTGAAATCCGACATTAAAAATCACGATTGAAAGAGTATCCAAATTACATTATATTGGGGGGCGCCATCGTCGCTTGTTGCAAATAGTTGTGTGTTTTGAACAGTGATGGGCATACTTAAGTAGTTTTCTATTTAACAGCTGATCTAAATACTAAATACCTTGGTATTTAACATTTCGCGGTATCCAAAATACTAAATACTTATATACTTAATATTTAGAAGCTATCGAAAGTACTAATTACTTGACTATTTAGTATTTTCAGTACTCTTAAATACAAAATAATCAAGTACTTACTATTTTGTTGTTTCATAAATACTTCATACTTGGTATTTAGTACTTGATGATTCTTCTTGGAATACATATATTTATGCATACTGGATCTACAATTGAAAAATAACATCTGTGAATTTTGAGGACACTTTATTCATATTCAAATTACATTATTTACCTAATTCATAATTGAACTCTCATCTGTACATAACTGGTGATCTGATCTAATGATCAGGCCCTCAAGGCATTACTACCATGGAAGCAACTTCTCTGAATTACCTCAGAACTTTTTGGCTTCATTGACATGAGTCAGTCCTCTCTTCTCAAAGTTAGAAGGAGTAAGGCGATTCTGACGAGGGAGATTAGCCATACCTACATATGAAAAAAGCCTTTCTACAGGAGCTGATGAGGGTAATGGAGTTTTTTATTTCAAGTACACCTTGCGAATCATCGGATATGAATGAAGCATCGAAAGATCGGTTCGAGGGTCTGCCATAAACTGCTGTAGCTCACTTTTGGGTTCAGCATCTCCAAATATAATATTTACGCCATTGTTAGGTATTGGCTCAAAGTCATAGAAATTATTCTTTGGTGGACGAGGAGGCTCTGCAGATTTCTTCGTATTTTTAGATATTTCTCTCAGGATCGCATTTGTCACTCGCTGCTGAGCAGTTGATGGAAGAAAAGTCAACCAGTTTCTCTTGAAATTTGGGTTTGAGACCGCACCAATAGCAGCGAGTTCTCCTTCCTCTTTGATATCAACAATATTTCGAAAGCGTGTATTCAATGCTTTGATTAACCCCTGAACCAGAGGTTTGCATAACTTCACCTGAGGATCATAAAGCATTAAATTTAGCTTATTATGTAGAGAAATGAGATTTAGGATCAAATAGCAATATGTGCAGTGCTTTTCTCCCTGTAACTCATCAATCGTTACTGCTATAGGTCCGAAGATTTGCACATATTCCTTGAGATATCTAAAAAAATTAATAATAATTTGGTCATTTGTCATCATTATATTGGAGAGACAATAATCAGCGCATTCTCACAACGGTTAATTTTATTCGAACATCACTCTATGAAACTGGATAAATTTCTGATCACGTACGTGTCACGTCAAAATGAACCAAATGACATGATCTAAAATTTCTGATTGAGCTTTCAAGACCAGATAGGTCACTTCAGCTAATATTATTTAATAGAATTTACAAGGGAGGAAATTCTAATTGTAATTTGGAATAATTCCCAAAAAAATAAACCCCACTGGATATAGGGAATTGAAAGAAAATTCGAACACAAGTTTTAATTTAAAATGACTCCGGAGAGTCTATATTTTAAAAAGAGAATAAAATAAAACACTGAAAATTTAGATTCACAAGACTCACAGTTGTTGATCTCTGCTAATCCAGTATGGTTCACAATTTTTCACTTGAACAATTTATTAATAATGCCGCACTATCTTATTGATTTCAAATTTTTTTTAATATTGACTCGACACAATCCAAATATTACACTAATTAAAAACACAAAAAATATAAGCCACGAAAGACTTAAAACCAAATTTGTCACGAAGGACTTGAAAATAAACTAGTGTTGAAAACTAGCTAAAATGAGCTACGATGGAACTGAGGAGCAAAACGACGCGCAAGTGGTTTTGTATCCTCAGCCTGAGGGGGTGTCCTCAGATGTAAGGGCGCGAAAACTCGGGGACCAATGGTCTCTGACCTTGGCCCATAGTTCTCACTCCTGACACTCCCGGTCCCAATGTTTCAGGGTTAACTCCGACCCCTCCACATGGAGATGTTGGGGTGTGGGCGGACTTTTCCACCCCCAACTACCAATGAGGTTTTGCTTCGGGAGGACCCATTTTCTCCCTCCAGAAACTGTTAACTTAACTAACAATTTTTAGTTATTAAAAATTACCTTTACTATTGATTAACAATATTTTTTTGATTATGTTGATAATAATAACTATCTAAATATTAATAAAAATGAAAATAGAAAATTATTTAATAATAATNAATAACTATCTAAATATTAGTAAAAATGAAAATAGAAAATTATTTAATAATAATAAAGTAATTAATCTATTTACGTCATTCTCTTTCCGTTTTAAACAAAAGGTAAATTATTTGAGTTTGAATTATTCGCAATTCAAACTCAATAATTTATTAATTTGAAAGAGACTTATTTCTCTGTCTTTAAATATTCAAATTCTGAAATAATTTAACTATACTAAAAATAGACTTGAGAGCCATAAGTTTAAATAATTTCCGGAATACTTGAATTTTGTATTTTAAAGAAATGAATCTAAAATGAATTGAACTGAATTCAATCAATAGGATTAATTATTATTTTACGTGAAAATCAAAATATAATCAAACTTGAATAATAATTCATTTGAATTTAATTGAAAATAGTTGTAGAGAGAAATAATTGAATTGAGTTCATTTGATAAAATTAGAGAACAGTTGATTTGAATTATCATTTGAGTTACGATCATTTCAGAAACCTCCGGTTTAAATTATCGTAACGAAAAGATTTTTAGATCAAAATGATCGTCTAAAAATTCTGAGTTTATTAAACTGAAATTTGTTAATAACAAACAATATTTTTTTTAAAACATCGAAAATTGTCAAAAGGAGATTTA